CTCCGCATTGGCTCCAGCACGGTCATGGCTGAATGTATCCTATGCTTCAACGTCTACAGCTGGCTCGCGCCTCACCTGACGGCCATTCACAAGGTGACCAACGCGGACGAGAAGCGGCTGCTGCTCGCGCTGGCCGCCCGCCGCGTGGACACTCGGAAGTCGCCGTGTCCGGTCCCGGGCTGTCGCAGAACGCCAGCCCGCTTGGACAGGCACTTGAGACAGCACGTGGAGCTTTCAACCTCGGGGCGGAAAGAGGCTATGGGGAGGACGAAACGCCGGAAAGTAGCCCGGGAGTTGCAGTGGCTGCGGTCTACCCAGCCTGCAATCCCCGTCGTGTCCCAGCTAGCATCGTCCTCCGAGGGGGAGCGGGACTCGGAGGGCCCAGAGGCCGGCCGCCCGTGCGCCGACCGCGGCTGCAGGCGCGCCACCGAGCGCATACAGGCTCAGCTCACGGACCTGGGGAAACAGGTTACCAAGATGCGGTCTACCCTGCTCCAGATCACACGCCTCTACCGGGAGCTGAGGAAGGGAGAAGGGGGGAGAAGGAGGAGGAAGAGGGCGAGGAGAACCAGGTCGCCTCCTGCACCACCGGCTCCCGGGCGAGGGGCGGCCGGAGGTCCGACGCCCCCCGAGCCTCCGGAGGCTTTGGAACCCACTGCCTACCCGTTCCCGGACCACGTCCCTGCGCTGAGTTGAGTATATTTCAGGCACGTCACTGTCGCTCTGCTGGCTGTGTGCCTTCGGGGAAGTTGACTCTTGGTTGTGCTCGTTCCACAGACCTTCTCTTGGGGGAGTTCGAAGGGTACCAACTGGGCAGCGAGCCCACCGCGCGCCTACGGAACAACGTCACTTCGAAGCTGGGGAGAATCAAAGCCTTCCTTGGTTACATGGCCAGGGGCACCGCGGAGCCAGGGAATTTCCTTTTCCTCAACCAACCAGCCCGAATCCGAGCGTGGGCCGCCCTGCTAGGTCAGACCCGCATGGCCGAGCCCACCAGGCAGCACTATCTGAAGAACGTGGCTCAGTTCCTGGACTACCACTCGGAGACGCCGCCGGCCGCCTGTCAGCTCTCCAGCACGGCTCTGGTTCTGATTCGAAGGGAGGTCAGAGCCCTCATTCGCGGCATACGCCGGCGTGTCGTCGTGCACGAGGTAAGGACCAAGCAGGCGAAGGAAAGCCGACTGATCCCCAAGGCCAGCCTGGTGCGCTGTCACCGGACCGCTGGAAGGAAAATTCCCGCCCTGCTAGGTAAGCAAGCCCTTCCGCCGTTCCAGCGATTCCCCCTGTTCGTTCTTCCGGGGCACCAACAGCCCTTGGTTCATCCAGCCACGTCTATCTGCCCCTCTCCCCCGCGAATGGGACTCATTCGGGGGGAAGGGGGGCAGACAGACGTGGCTGGATGAACCAACAGCTGCTGGTGGCCCGGAGAGGAATTGTGCGTTTCTTCTTCAGGGGCACCAGCAGTTCTTGGTTCACCCAGTCTGCCCAACAGGTCACCAGCAGCCAAGAGCTGTTGGTGACCCAGAAAGGAAATAGAACCGTCGGTGGTCTAATCTGTCTAATGTCCTTCACCAGATAGCCTCGAATCCAACCCAAGCACTAGGCAACAGTGGCGCTTCTATGGCTTTCTGACTGGCTACCTAACCTCCATCTCTGGGCACCGCTGTGGAGTCTTCCAGAATCTCACAATCCAGGAGGTTGAAGAGGCCTCCAGAAGCCCCGACGAGTCTGCTTATGTCATTAACGTGAGTATGGCGCAAGTAAGGTGGGGGTCACCAGTAGCATGCTCTCTCACTCACTCCCGGAGGGAGCCAGGCTACCTATTTCTTTTTCACTTCCAGAGCCAGTCCTTGTCGGACCCTGAACAAGTACTTTCAGTCTGCTTGGCTCAGTATGGGCCTTCCAGGCAAACCCACCTTTACTGACGTACGCACTGCGATCGCGACCCATGTGAGTAGGCATTGTGACGCCCCTGTAACTACCAGCGGCGGCTTCGATCCTAATCAAGCTTCTGTCTCTCTCCGACGCAGGCAAAGAATGCACACTCTTCAGAGGATCGCCGCAAGGTGGCGCAATTCATGTGCCATGACACTTCAACCTCAGATAAGTTCTACGCACTTCACCTCGGACCTCTCCAAGCACGCGAGCGCCGCAGACTCTTTGAAAGGGCCCTGGTGGAGGAGGAGGAGGAGGAGGAGGATGGGGAGGCAGCAGGCACTGAAAGCCCCCCGCGGAAAGGGCGCAAGAGGACAGAGACTTCCGTCTCTCCCCTGGTAAAAATCACATTCTCTTTGGCGTGGACAGCAGAACGTGTGGCATTGGCTAACTGCCCTTTATGTGTCTCTTTTCCAGGAGGGAACCAGCAGGAGGACGCTGCCATGGCGCCCTGCCAGGGGGAAAAGCCAGGGCGCTCGCCCGCTCGAACAAACAGAAGACTCTGAATCGTCCTGAATAAATATTATACAACTTAACGGTCAAATGGTGTTCAGTGTCTTCATTATTCCTTTTATTTATTATCTGTGTGGTAAAAGTAGATTCAGTGGGGACAAAAATGAGCCCTGTCTTCTTAGTTCAACGCTGTATGCCTGCTGCGTCCAGGTCCTGCCTTGGCTACGTTCCGATTGGGACAGATTAGCCCTAACTTGTGTGTTAAAAGTGTCACGTGGGATGCCCTCATCCAGGTTCTGCCTTGGCTACGTTCCAATTGGGACAAACTATCCCTGCCTTGTGTGTTAAATGTGACTCGCGGGACTAAACTCTGCAGAAAACTCTGCAGAAAGGTCGATCTCCATAAACAGGGTTGAGCACCCCTGTTTAAGACAATGAAAAATAAGACATCTAGATGATATTTTATATTCAATCATTTGTGAAATTTAAATGACTTCTATTCAGTATATACATAACATAAAATTAGAATAAGAATAAAAAAATAATAATAATAATACTCTATTTGTGTCACATTCCAGGTCCATCACAATCTGAGCTAGAAAGACAATATGGCAAAAGACAAGACACATATAAATAAGTCTCAGAATAAAATATTTTAAAGGATAGTTTACTTTTCTGCCACCATTACTCCATGTGTTTTAAATCCATTTACATTTCTGTTGAACACTAAAGCAGATATTTTGAAGAATGTTAGAAACTAGTAACTATTGACATCTATATTTGAACCAAATTTCTTAAAAAAAATATATGAGTTTGTGTTCAATGGAATAAAAAAAAAAAAACTAACTATTTTGAAACAAGTGGAGGATGCCAAAGATGCCATTATTTTCATTTTTGGGTGAACTGTCCCTTCAATTCAAGTGTCACACATTACTCATAAAAACTGATGTATCGCTTGAGGAAAACTAAATCAAGTACCTCCTGTGAGCAAGCAGAATCATTATGCCATTGTATTCAGCCAACTGACCCAGCCGAGGCTCGAACCAGCAACCTTCTTGCTGTGAGGTGACAGCACTACCTACTGTGCCACTGTGTCGCCACTGGAAGAAGAAAAAGAGATTGTACATGAGACTCCTCACAACAAATCTGTGAACAACTTGACATTTCAAAATCTAATCAAAATGAGGAAGACATCAACATTACCTTGAATAATCAAGTGAGGAGAGATTGGTAGCATCAGTTTTTCAACATCAATTGCTGTAGCTGCAAAAAAAGATAAATATAATAAAAGTAAAATAAGAATTAACATTTAATAATCTAAATCTATGGTACAACCATACCAATCTGTATGGGGTTCAAATAAATTTGTATACAAATCTTTCCCTACACCTGAACACCAAAAATAAAATGTACAATTAATGACACACTAACGTTATACAATAACCTCATTAACCAGTGAGAAATAGACAATTAATATGAATTATGTTAATATTAACGTTAGCTTAAAAGACATCAACAGAATTTTATTATCAGCTTAATTTAATAAAACAGTTTAGACTTGTTTCATTGTGAGTTTAGTTTGAATAACTAACTTACAGTTAACAAATTTAACCATAATGATAACTTAGTCACAATGACCACATGAAGACCAGAGCTTACCTTAACGTTAAACGATTAACTTTTCATTGTGACTTTGCCTTCATCTCAGTGTTGTGCTGAAATAGAGAATTCATTAATGCAGTTAACCCCAAGTAAAAGTTAAGTTTTTTTTCAGGTAACGTTACTATGGTCAAAAACTCACTCAAGATAAACTCACTGTACGTTATCTAATACCTCGCAAACACTACAAACACCGTCTGGCGTCGAATAACGTGACATGAGTACCTTCAACTAAAGTAACTTGGTTAATTATTTTAAATTACACACACACTACATGGAAATATACACAAAACAATCCTTTAACGAACAGAATTTGACTTTTAAACACTTACCGAGGATGAATTCACTGGAAGAAAAGGCGACAGGTTGATTTCAAATTAGAAGAGCCGTTGCTTGCCTGGTGAAGGTCGAATCGAGTCCGCTCAGTTCTATGAATCGGCTCCTTAGAACAGTGAAGAGTCGAATCCGTCTAAAACCAATTCCTTTTTGTATATTATTGTAAGACACAACAATGAATCATTACTATTTCGTTATACTGCTCGGCCACACACATTTATACACATATTGCTGAATGTGCTTATGAACACGTGTGATAAAATATTTCCCGAGCAAACGGTTCAATCCGATTCGGTGTCGTTTGAGTGCTGAACCGAACCAGTGCAAACGTAATATTGATAAAATAGTAATATTGTTTTTTTTTCACTTTACCAGCGAATATATTACATATTTCAGACTTTAACAATAAGAATAAGGTTCGCTAGAAGTGTTTTCAGAATTAAAGGGCACCTATTGTAAAAAACCTACTTTTCAAGCTGTTTGGACAGATCTGTGTGTTGGTATAGTGTATAGACCATCATACTGGGGTGATATGAACACACCCAGTCCTTTTTTTTCAATTTAACTACAAAAAAAAGGGTCGGCCAATTAGAGCTGTTTTCAAATCGATCGCACCATTACGTAGGTGTGCGATTCCCCCGCCCACCGAATTGATCGACAGCTGTGCGTATTAACATATCCTGAATTTGCCGTTTCCGCCATTATCAGCGTGTACGTCGAAGCGATGCCACCAAGAGAACACCATTGTGCTATTTTAGGATGTAAGGCTCAGCACAAGAGCCTTCACCGTCTTCCTGCAAATGAGCAACAGAGGCTTAAGTGGCTGAGTTTTATCTTTGAAGACAAGGTGCCTGAAAATGTACCAAAACTGTTGTATGTTTGCGCTAACCACTTTAGCGTAGACTGCCTCGAGAACGCGGGACAATACAACTCCGGATTCGCGAGTAAATTGTTTTTGAAAACTGGATCAGTTCCTACAATACGTGATCCTGCCTCACTTCAAGTAAGTATTACATTTTATGTACTTCTAGCCTTAGCATTCTAATTATGTTAAGCCGATGAATAGTATCTGCGGCTAAAGTAGCTTCGGATGTTTGTTTGCACGTGTTTACCTCTTATTGTGCTTTTCAAAAACAGTCTAAATACTCGAAGCTGCAAATGGTAGTGTGTACATGAAGGGGGTTTAGCCATCAGAAACAGAAACCGTAGAAAAATAGCAACATTGTAAAAAGCAGTACCACTGGCTACAGCTAAAGTTTGTTGTTGTTAAATGTTTGTTGTACTGTAATGGTAAGCCGAAACGAATAGCATCTAAAAGTTAAAAGCAGCTAAAGTTGCTTCGGATGTTTGTTTGCACGTGTTTACTGCTATTATGCTTTTCTAAAACAGTCTAAATAATCGAAGCTATAAGTGGTAGTGTGTTCAAGAAGGGCTTTTAGCCATTAGAAACAGAAACCGTAGAAAAATATAAACATTGTAATAAAGCAGTAACCAGTACTGGCTACAGCTAAAGTTTGTTGTTTATGTGGGATGTTTGTTGTAATGTGTATACTGTAATGTTAAGCAGAAATGAATAGCATCTGCAGCTAAAGCTACTTCGGATGTTTGCGCGTTTACAGCTATTGTGCTTTTCTAAAACAGTCTAAATACTTGAAGCTTTTAGTGGTAATGTGTACATAAAGGGGTTTTAGCCATCAGAAACAGAAACCGTAGAAAAAATTAAACATTGTAATGAAGCATTAACACTGACTAAGTTACAGCTAAAGTTTGTTTTGTATGTGGGATGTTTGTTGTAATTTTTTTCACTGTACTTGCACGTGGTCTGCAGTTGTTTACAATAAGATCGGTATGTTTTAATCAAATAAAGGTCATTTTAAAAAATTTATGTTTTCTTACAAAGGCCACGACGTCGACAAAGAGCAACAAGGTGGATGTTGCTTGCCAGACCTTTTCACACATCTTTACACAGTGTTGGTACCCAGTTGTCTTTTAGGATGCTTCAGGCTAAACGCAGGAGTACAAGTAAGTTAAAATTTCTCAGTTTATTTTAAGTTGCTGCATTAGAAACGTGTTTTATTATCTTTATAAACGTGCAATGAGATTAATCATAAAATTACACTATAGGTGTCCAGACAACAGTATCCAGTTTTGAACTGACTGTACCATTAGCGTCCTCTACTGCGTTTATGACTTCAACACCCCTCAAACCTTCACTAAAAAGACCTCGTCTGGAGCTGGAGGAGGAGGAGGAAGAAGAAGAAGCCGAAGAGACTTTGACAGTCAAAAATTATAGCCCAAGACTCGGATGTGACATTTGACCCTGAAGAGGAATGCACATCTGCAACTGAACCAACAGACTTGTCGTGAGTTTATGCATTATGTAAATTATTTGAAAGATTGTGTATTGTCATCATAACATTCATCATCATTTTCTTTTTAATTATGTTAATGTGTATATTTATTTTTACAGAATCCAAGAATGCCCAGTTCATAACATTGCCAAGTTCATTGTCTATGAAACATGCCTCATGGAGCTCTTCAGTGACTGCCCAGTGTGTCAGAGGAGATGTGATGTAAAGTCACAAAGGCTTGGGACATTTCTGAGCGTACAGCAAGTCTGCCCACACTGCGAGTTTGTAAGAAAATGAAACAGTCAGCCAATTATTGGTAGTACTCCAGCTGGCAACCTGCATCTTTCTGCTGCAGTCTACTTGAGCGGTGCATAATTTTTTGTAGTTGAAAAGGTAATTATCTATCAAAATTTATCACATTTCTTTTAGAAACACAATGCACATGCACATTGTACTAAAAATTCTCCTCTCTGTTGTCAGGTATTTGCTGCAATGAAACTACACATTTTTAAATATAATTCATTTCGCCGTCATGCAAGACTTTGCATTGAACCTGCTATTGTCCACAAGTGGAGAAATTGGCAGAGTGAAATGCTAGAACAGCTCAGTCGAAGAGAGAATGTGATTGTTGGAGGAGATATGAGGGCTGACTCCCCAGGTATTTAGTCAAAAGATTTGATTTCCAATTCAATACAGTCTAATAAAAAATAAATATGAAATACATTATAATTATTCCAAAAATGTGTTTAAAATAATTATGTACGGTTTTTCTTGAAGGTCACTTGGCCAAGTATGGGAGTTATACAATAATGGACCTTGCAACTAACACAGTGGTCGACCTACAGTTAGTCCAGGTAATACAGAAAAGTGTTATGTGAACTAG